GACAACCGGGGGAATATCTCTCCGACACTAATGTGACCATCCTGGAAATCCAGTTATCTCTGTGAAGTGAGGATGAAGGTGAGGGAGGAGAGAGGAGGCACAGAGGGCCTGACAATGAGAGGGTCTTTGTTTTCTAGTCACGTCATTGCTCGCCCCCCTTTTTTTCCCCTGCTGGTCCAGATGTGAGTCCATCATCACGCTGCAGAGTCAAGTGCTTCTAAACAAACCTGACACCCAGTTATTTCATCTTCTTCACTTCTCTGGGTCACAGCAGCAGCAGAAAGAAACAGATTTCCATTTCTGTCGGCAGTTTAAAATGAAACGTCTGTTTGATGATGGAATGAAAACTCTCTCTGTCACCACAGCAGACTGCACACACTAAAAGAAACATTATTTTTTCAGATGTGTATTGTTTCATCACTCATCACTGATCAGTGGCTTCTTCTTCCATTTACTTTTTCCATTTTGACAGAAATATTAATAATAGGAGAAACCTGAAGCTCGGGGTCTGTTCTGGCTGATCCTGGAAAGAGAAAAGAAGCTAAATTCCAACTTGTTCCTTAAAAAGTGCTTTAACAGGACGTGGAACATCAAAACGCACCAGTGCTGATGTTTTTTTTTACAGGCTAACAGAAGCTAACTGTAAACTAAAGACAGTGATGCTTTAGAAGTTGCAAGATTTAAAGTGACTCCTCAGAAATGCTATGCTTGTAAATGAGACTCTTATCAAAAAGTATTTAAATCGGAAAAAAAAGAGTCAAAATACACAGAAAATATACAAACTAATGAGGGAATATCCTTATAAATCGTCAGCAGCCTCTAGTTATTTTAGTTACCTCAGCATTGTGGTTGTTGCTCTAAGTCATGTGGTAAACAGTGAGGAGACAGTAAGTGGGGACAAGTCCAGCGTCATGAAAAGTCTTATGATGAAACCACAGTGACACTCAGTAGAGCACATACCTCCGCCCCGCCCAACACTGCCCTTATGAAACCATTGGATCCACATTTCTTCTGCACCAAATTGCACACACTCATAAAAATCAGTCCCATAAACATGCCTGTTATTTTTTTTTATATCAAGGTCCATGAATTATTCTGAGAAATCAAAGAAAGTGTTAAAGAAAGTGATAAAAAAAGAAGTAAATTAAGACCAGATTCCTCGGTGTGTGTTTTACTGGATTTTCGACTCCTGAGAAAATCAACACTATGAGTATAGCAAAGCTGAAGCTGACCAATGACGTGAAACTCACTATAAAGCTCTGTAAAACTTTCTGTTGAGTTTTCATAACAAATGTTCACATTTTTTGTTTTAGAATTATTTTTATGTATTCAATTTATTTGTATAGCACCAAATCATAATATACATTAGCTCAAGGCACTTGACATAGAAGGTCAGGACATATCTGATGTTTTACTTTTTCCCTGCTCATAGTTGATGACCTGATTCTCACATTAGTGATATTTTGCAGTCCCACCTCTGCAGCTCATCACAGCCCATAAAACTTTACATGTTAAAAACATTTGTGAATAAAAAAAATAATCTCTTATGGCCTTAAAAATGGCTTAAAGGTCAAGTTTGGTGTTAAATGAAACATTCAATATTGATCAGCCTTGTCCAATAAAAATATGACTTTTAGTTTGATCTTTTATATCTGTACAAATGATGATTTACAGAAGATTTGAAAGAGGATTCGAATAGTCTAACCCAGCAGATAGTCCTAAAGTGAACTGAAAAAATAAGCAAAGGCAGTGGGAATGTTACCCTTGCATCCATGGTCAATAAATCCAAATCATGCATTGGGAGAAATGGCACAGGAAAATAAAACAGGTCTCTCTTTTTCTCTTTTTACTTTTATTGGGTTGAGCCGTCCAGAAAATGTTTCACATACCCCAGGGGAGAGCTCTGTGTGACTATAGGCAATTTATGAGGAATGGAAGAAGAAATAAGTGTCTTCCAAATACATTGGAACCTCTAGAGAGCAAGGAAACCGTTTCTTTTTGAACTAAATGAATGAAAACTCATCGGCTGGACAGAGACATTAATGTCACCAGAGGGAAGAAGTGTGAATGTTTTTCAGAAGCCTTGCTTCCATTGAATATCTGACATTATACCATTCATGTCAGCATCTGACGACCAATGACTCATCCACTTGACTGGTGATTAACTGAAGTATTTACAGCAAACAACTCATCAGCAGGGTTCTGATGTGTTGGAGGCAGCACAGTGTGTGTGAACCTGTGGTTGGTCTCTGTCAGCAGCTCTGATTCAGTTATGGACAGTGTGGCTGCAGCAGCTGAGGGACTCAGTGCACACCTGGAAAACACATAGAGGCGAGGCTGCTCTTGGCTCAGTGTAACTGACGTACATTTCCAGATGTGGAATTCAATTTCAGAGATCAAAGAGGGGCGTCAATTTTATGTTATGCTCAGGTTTCCCCGAGGCTGGGCGAAACAGTCTGACACACCCAAAAGAAAAGTATCCAAACAAAGGTTACAGGCTATTTATAAAGGGACTGAGGGTCCATTCTTCAAAACTATTCACCGAAACCGTTTCTTTTTTCTTTCTTCTGTCTACTAATGGCTGTCTGTCTGTCTGTCTGTGGGACACATATCTCACAAACTGTTCATCTTATCAGCTTCACACTTGAAATGTGTATTATTAATGTCCCAGGGAACTGCACTGTTAAATTTGGTGCAATATTAATATGATTGAATAAGCCCGTGCTCTGTAGCGGTCAGTGGGGATGGGGCAGTGCCCCCGGTCTGTGGTCTTGGTTCTTCTACATCCTCAGATAAACTACATCAGAGGTCATCAACTGGATCAAACCACAGGTCAAAATCGTTACCTGATCATTTAGATCATTTGACTATTTTCATTTCACCATATCGACACAGCACAGGTGCTGATCATGGCAATTGCAGCTATAGAATCACTTCCTGTTTGGCAAGTTGTCTTCATAGTAAAAGCACATCTGTTTTGTTGATGCAGTGCTTTATAGGCTACTGAGCAGAATTACTGAGCTTCACTTTTAAAGTTGTGAACTTTTGTCTGAAGATTGTGTCCTTTGCTTAACAGACCTCTGCAACAGCCGACATGTGATGAATTAAAAAACAACAGCAGATAACTTAATAATTCAAACTCAACAATCCAAACCACACACGTGACCAGCAACAAAGCAAATTCAGTTTCATTTCCTAAAAAACATGGACTTTAAACCAGGTAGGACGAACACAATGTTTTCTAACATCACTGTGCACCATACACTGTTTATAAAAAGCTCTGCACACAAACAATAAAAAATGACAGTACATTATAGAACTGTTTGACTGATTAATGACTGGGAATATTTCTGAAGGCACTGTAATTCATTTTCATTTTGGTTAACTGCTGTATTCAGTGTAAGCTTGCAGTGTCAGGAGACTTGAGACCCCCCTAATCCTAAGGATTTAGATTTATGCAAGATCAGGAAAAAAATCACCTCTGTGCAAGATTGAATGTTTCCTGTTTTGTTGTAAATTACCCTGCGGTCACTGATGCTGTCCCTAGTATGTCGTAATCACCTTAGGGGTCACTTGGAGACAACGAAAAATAAGGCTGATGGTTATTTGCATGGTTGGATTTTTTTATGTTCCTCATATTTTTTTTGCTTTTGGGACAATTGTGGCTAGAATATGATGCTGATAATTGTTTTTGAATTGTATTTTTTATTTCTCGCTACCCTCCTTCCGTGTCTAGTGGTTCACATAGTAGGGGTCCTAACCCCTATTATGTGAACCACTGTTAAACCTGTCCGTGTCTGGTCCCTGCAGGAGAAGTGACGACATGCAGAGTCTGAGCTCCTGTGTGGGTCTCTCTGGATTAGGACAGTGCAATGGAGTAAATGGGATAAACAGGGCTTACAGATCTGGGTGGCTGTAGTGACGCAAGGCTTTACGCTGCCTAATGGAGCGTCGGTGACACCTGCAACACTCTCTCAGGGTCCCTGACCTCTCCAGTCCCTCCAACCTGTGCCTCACCACAGCTTTCGTACAACCCCCTAACCCCTTGGAAATGACGAGAACTGCTAATTTGATATTTCTGAATGGAATAAAAACTGAACCCACAGAGCTATTACAGTTCACGTTTAAAAATAGGTGAATTAAAGTTTCGTAAAGTGAGTGTAGCAAGTGTTTTTACAGTTTTAGAGGGAAATGTGGTCCAAATGTCATCAGAAGTGGAGGCTGCAGACGCTGACCTGCAGTTGTCAATGGTTTAACAAGCTTATGAGATTGAAGACAAAATGTTTTCCGTCTGTTTTAAAGAGCAAAAATCTCCCATATCCTCCTGTTCGACTGAGCTGGGCAAGTTTAACGTTTATTATTATAGTGCTTTAATCTGACACGTTTAGGCCTGAATCGGCCCACAGAGGGCGACATGCCAACGTGAAGTGAAGTGAGCAGAGGAGCTCATCAGATCCCTTCAACTGCAGTGACTAGAAAATACTTTTGTTAAAACTAATCTTATTATTTTGTGTATTTTTTGATTGTCATTTGTTATAGATTATAATCACAGGATGACATTTTGCGTAAATTTGGGTTCAAGTGAAGTGTTTTGAGCATAGATTAATATTTTATGTTTATATATTTATAAAGAACCATTACAGGTTGAAATAAATAAAGAATATAGATATAATGGAGTTTTATAGTGGAGCTGGTACATGGGGCACAGTGTTGAGCAGGTTTTCAGAGTGCAGCAGGCTGAGAGAGGGGCGGGGTGACGCACGACGGACATCTTCAGACTCTTTCTTTAGGCTGGTGCAGGTCAAGTGGGCAGGTGACTTCCACACTAACTTCCACACAAGTCGAACTGAAGCAGAGGTACAGGGGAAAGGCGGCTGGATTTTCTTGAGCGCACATGAGCCGGGATTCTTCCTCGGCAGCTGATGGGAGGAGAAATTAAAAAATATGTAGGATCTGCGCGCAGAAAATCCTCAAGATTCCTGTGAGGGGGGTTGATCGTGTGGAGGGAGGATTGTACCAAAAAGTGCGACTCGAGGAGCAGCTTATTCATGCAAATTCATGAAATCATAGGCGTGCCTTTGGACGATGGAGTCACGGCCGGAAAAACAAACCCCCTCCTGGATGATCAGTGAGCTTCAAAGACTGTGATGCGCTGAGCTCGGACGCATTGACGGCGGCACCGGGGCGAATGTTTGAAGAGCTCAGAGACTAACAAGAGAAAGTTAGGGCTCGTTGTTTTTTCCCTATACGCTCCTGTTGACTGGCTGCACTTCGTCCTCCTCTCACTGAACCACCAGCACCAGTGACTGCTGCGCCACTGGATCTCCAATCGCAGGCGCATAACTGTTACGCACGGCCACAACTATCACTATCTGCCTTGGCTATTTAATTCTTTTTTTGTTTCTTATTTTATTTTATTTTCATTTGTACTTTTGTTTCTTTTGTGTCTTACTGTCGTTTCAATTCCTGAGGACACCGATGCGGATGAAGTTACAGCCGAACTATATCAGAGTCCGTGCGTAAAGACGCCACCGCCGATTCGTTCCCTGTTTTTCGACTTTCCCTGCACCGCCATGTCCGAGGACGACAGTAGCTCCACCACCAGCTACATGTCTGACACCGAAGGGAGCAACGTCAGCGTCCTCAGCTGGGAGCAAGTGCAGCGGCTGGACGCCATCCTGACGGAGACCATCCCGATCCACGGCCGCGGAAACTTCCCGACTCTGGAGATGCAGCCGCGGCAGATCGTTAAAGTGGTGCGCAGTCGGATGGAGGAGAAGCAGATCCACGTCCGGGACGTGCGGTTAAACGGCTCCGCGGCCAGCCACATCCTGCACGAGGACAGCGGACTGGGCTACAAGGACCTCGACCTCATATTCTGCGCAGATATGAAAGGAGAAAGTGATTTCCAGACTGTGAAGGACATAGTGTTGGACTGTCTCCTGGACTTTTTACCCGACTGTGTGAATAAAGAGAAAATAACGCCGTTAACGTTAAAGGTACACGCACCCACTACTTTTCCCCCTGCTATACTTGTTTACTTTTAGATAAGTGATAAGATTTGATTGCATGTGTGCCAGTTCGGTTTAACGTCCATTACGCGCAGCTTAATGCGCAATTAGATTAGTTAAGTGATAGTAAAACTTTGGTTTTCTGTAGTTAAGAGGATTGAGTTAATCCAATTTGGAAAGGATCCTGAGCTCAGCCACCTAGATCCCATATCCAAGTACGTTCTGTGGTCTGTAATATTGGGGTCAGTAGCATTAGTAACACAAAATTGTATCACAAAGTCATATAAATAAGATTCGTGGATATAGCAAAAATTGTTAGATATTAATGTAGTGGCATAATGTGAAATTAGGCCAAAATAATTACTTAATTTGTGTGTTTCTCTCTCCCTCTTCTTCATATATATGCCACACACACACTCACTTACACACAGGAAGCCTATGTGCAGAAGATGGTGAAGGTGTGTAACGACTCAGACCGCTGGAGTCTCATCTCACTCTCCAACAACCGGGGGAAGAACGTGGAGCTGAAGTTTGTGGACTCTCTCCGGCGGCAGTTTGAGTTCAGCGTGGACTCATTTCAGATCAAACTGGACTCCCTGCTGCTGTTCTACGAGTGCTCAGAAAACCCCATGGCTGAGACCTTCCACCCCACCATCATGGGAGAGAGCGTATACGGGGACTTTGTCGAGGCCCTGGACCACCTACGTCACAAGGTCATCTGCACCCGCAACCCTGAGGAGATCAGAGGCGGGGGTCTGCTGAAGTACTGTCACCTGCTGGTGAGGGGCTTTCGAGCTGCCTCCGAGTCAGAGATGAAATCCCTGCAGCGCTACATGTGCTCACGGTTCTTCATTGACTTCCCTGACATTGGTGAACAGCAGCGAAAGCTGGAGTCATACCTTCAAAACCACTTTGTGGGCCTGGAGGACCGCAAGTACGACTACCTTATGACCCTGCATGGAGTGGTCAACGAGAGTACGGTGTGTCTGATGGGACATGAGAGGCGGCAGACTTTAGGGCTGATAGCCATGCTGGCAGTGCGAGTGCTTGCCGAGCAGAACTACATTCCCAACGTGGCTAATGTCACATGTTACTATCAACCCGCTCCTTATGTGGCAGATGGCAACTTCAGTAACTACTACATAGCACAGGTTCAGCCAGTGTTTGCTTGCCAGCAGCCTGCGTACTCCACCTGGCTCCCCTGTAACTGAGACAGCCCAGAGGGAAGGAGGAGGGAGAGAGTGTGCTTTGTTTAAACGGGATCAAGCGGCAGAGTCGCCGCCTCAAACCTGCCCAGTGTTTGACAGCCGACAGAAAAAGGATCTCTTCTTTTTAAGGTCAAAGCTTCAAACTTGTGTTTTTGTTTATAAGCTGCGTATGAATGCTGAATAAAATCCAGTTGGCTTTCAATTCCAAGTACGTTTTCCAATGTGAACATCTCCTCAACATCTCCTGATCCTGCACAGGCCAACTATAGGTTTTGAGAAAGATTACTTTGGGTAGAGCTTGGAGGTAAAGGCTGAATGCAAATATGTGACAGTCTCCTAAATCACTGAGACTGATCGAATCTGTCAAGAACTGATTAGCCAGCACGTTCCAGCAGCAGGGCAAATGGTGTCCTGAAGTTGACAGCTACTGCAACCCAGCATTCAGGGGTGTGTTCTCAGTGCCCAACACACACACACACACACACACTCACACACACACACACACACTGGGTGCGATCACAGGCATATGTAGGGCTCCAGCCCAACACCCTGTAGACAAGAGATGAACTGAGGTGAGATGCTGCTAAATTAGTTTGGATAACAAACGGGCATCTCCACCTTGCGTTTGGATATAATTATGGTTGTTTACAGACCAAAGATTTTTCTTTTTGATTGTCTCTTAACATTTAAACCCAATTTTGATGGGGTAAAAAAAAAATAAAACATAAAATATGAATCTATGTCTATTTGTATATGTGAATATATATGTGTGTTTATAAGTGCCTATTTGCCATATGACTTTTGTGAATTAGCCCCACTCTATTTTAAAGTCAGGCACACAGAGACATCAGCAGCCCAGAGGCTTGTGAATGTATACGTGAGCTCATGCACAGTCACTGTTTGTGTACGTTTGGATGCAGATAAGCAGCCATGCATCAGTAAAGTCATGGTCAAACGGTTCACATATTTCATGTGGACATGTGGAAACTCCAGATTTTATCTCCTCTGGGTGATGCTAAAATGTCACAAATTAACAAATACAGGCATTGTTAAGCTGCACTTTATAGATCATCAGCAACAGTTTCCCTCTCACACACACACACACACACACAATATTTTCTATGTATTTTGTACAGCGGTGCTTCTCTTTTTCTCATTGGAGAAGGAAAAAATGTTCACAGGTTGATAGGTAAGAGAGACAGAGAGAGAGAGAGGAAAGGCTGCATTCAGAGTCTGACAGAGAGCTGCTGTGTGTGCGTTCCTACGCTTCCTCCTGCAGCTGAAGGATATTTGCTGAGACACCTCAGATGACGATGAGACACTGTTTGCTGTAGCACCCTGGCAGGGAATTCCTCGGCTGCTGCTGAAGAGCTTGAACTTAGCTGGGGGTTCGGAGCCTGCAGACAAGGGTTCAGACAATGAAATGTCGTGCCAAACATCTCGGTGGCCCCCGCTGATAGCCCTGAAGTTTAATGAGCCATTTGTTTGAGCCATTTGATGTGCTGCAGACGAAGACACTGTGTTCAGAGAAGACGAGGAAAAAGAGAAAGGAGAGAGAAAGGAGAGAGAAAGGGAGATGCAGTGGTTGAAAGGCAGGAGGCAGAGAGGGGGCGTCTGGAGAGATGGGTGCAGCTGGTGATGGGGTTTATCTCTCGAGGGCTACCATGCTTTACTGTACAAACTGTCTCTGGTCAGGTTGCAAGTTAATGCTCATGTGCTGCAGCTCGTCCCTTTTTCCAGAGTTTGGATCATCTGTGGTCAAAAAGGAGTGAATAAAACTGTGTTCACACCAGGTTCAACACACTTAAAGTTGCAACTCATATTTCATTTGTAATGTTGCTTTGATGATGCCTATTAATGTTTTTATGCTTCAATCCACACCCATTTTAAAGAACTGTATATATATGTATATGATTACATGCCACAGCTTTGCCAACACACTTAATCTTTTGAAAACTATACTGCAGCCTTCCCTTAAGGTGATTTTTCAGCATAAAGACTAAGGCTAGGCCGGACAACCAGGATCGACACAAAGAGAAATTCTCTCTCTGAAGAAAAAAAAACCATTTCTTTTCTTGTCCTCTGTCTCGCATAATTCAGGTAATCCATATCTGCTCTGTCCAGTTGTTTCCTCCTCTCAGTGACTGTCCATGTCGACGGTATCCTCCGGATTGTGCAGGCAATGTATTGTCATTTGATACTCGGTGAACAGCCGACTAGCTAGCTATAGCTCTGTCAAATAGTGATTGTGCCTCTCGGTTAGAGATTGTGGATTACTGCTTCGTCTTGTACATGTTGTCTCAGTTATCCATTTTTGTTCATGCAGTCTTTTACAAATCACACTTTGAAAAAAAAAGAAATCGATTTTTGTCTTGTATGTATATTTTTTATGATTGTTATTTTTATAAATGTATCAGACACTGCAGATGTCGCAGTGCTTTGGAATCTGTGATCAGGCTTCAGAGGATATGTTTTCTATAGCTTTTTTGCTATATTATGTCAAAAGATTAATGGGTCAAAAGATTAAAGATGTTTTCATCAATAAAATATGTGAAAAACAGATTTGCGATGTCTCTCATCATTCACCTGAATCAAGTTTACTGCACTGGATTGTTCCAGACAGAAAAAACTGCTCATTTTGCTTTTATCTTTTAGATTCAATTTTTTTTTTTTTTTTTTAATTTGTTTTGGAGGGGAATCTCTTTACACTGATGCAAGCCATTCTGTGGCTTTCACACAGCTTCCCCTGCTCACTCGCTCAGAGAGGAAAATCCCTGCCGCGGCCTGCCGGGCCCGACAGACCCATCGGCCAGAAACCCGTCCAGAACTGGTCCGCATGCTGCCAGAGAGAGCTGTTGAATGTGAGGGGATTTGCATCCAACTCGAAAAAGAGACTTTAACGCTTTTGTACGGTGAATATCTTTGCCTGCTCATCAAATTCTCTCTGTTAACAGAATCCCCCACCCCACCAGCCTCAAACACACACACACAGCCATGCAGATAATCAGGGCTGAGGCCTGCCCAGCCCACAGTCCAACTGTTGGTTGTCATGGCTGAAACGAAACTCACCACAACAGTGTCACATGGTTCACATGACAAACTTGTCCTAGATACAGAAGGGTGTGGAGAAGACAAAGCAGAATGAGTAAGAGACTTGCTGTATGACACAGAGCTATATATGGCAGACATGATAAGGACATTATAGCTTTCACATAAGCGCATTAATCTGATCCATGAAAGGTATTACTGACAGGTTAAGGCTGAACAATGATGCATGTACATAGACATACAGACACAACTATCGGCTCGGTCAAGAAATATTTAATTCTTTAATGGGCCCTTTGTATCCCTGATATCAAAATGAAAGGGTTAGTTGACCATTTTTTTGGACCAAGTCTGCCTTAATCCAATATGAGCCTCCCCCTTATGCACATTAAAAGAGTGTGAATTTAATATCGGAAACACAAACTCTGGAGGACAGCCTCTTGATCTGATTTAATCTGCAGCCCACCCTGAGGTCCCTGTGAAAAGGGCGTTCCTCTCCCCTGCTGCCAAGTGTTGCTCATGGTGGGAACTGATGAGTTTCCAACTAAAATACCGTAAGGTCCAGAACTTACTGTGTAAAGGCCCTTGAGATAATGCATGTTGTGATCTGGCCTTGTGTAAATAAAACAGAATAGAATTGAATATGATTTTTGCACAGAAGCGGAACTGTGATTTGATTTGATCCCCCATGACTTACACTGAAACCACAGTGTGGTTGGGATTCATCTGTTGAACTGGAGGAACAACTGCTGCAAACAGCGGCACTTGCAATTCAATTCAGTTTTATTTGTACAGCGCCTTATCACAACATATATTATCTCTTAAATTGTATTGTTTTTATAGAGAAAGCCAACAGTTCCCACAATGAGCAGCACTTCTGTGACCGTGCAAAGAAACAACTCAATAACTGGAACAAAACCTCTAAAGAACCAAACTCAATGTGGGCGGACATCTGCCTCGACCGGTCGGGATAAGCAGAGAAAAATGGGGAAGAGAGGAAAGATGGGTGGAAAAGAGGGGAGAGAAGAGAGAGAAAGATAAGGGGGAGAGAGGGGAGAGTTTTAAGAAAGAGTGGAACCTACACTTTAAAATCTTCACATTATTACCTAATACAGGTATGTGAAAATAATTCAGCTTCTTTATTATGTTTCAATATTTGAAATGCGATCAAATATCCACATAGCACCAGATTGACAGTCTGTCATTGTGACATAGTTTCCATCCCTCAGTGCACTGAGCAGAATGCTGCTGTCAAGCCTTCAAGTGCGACATCTACATTCTGTCTGTTCTGGGAGAGGGATCCCTTACTTGACAGCTTGTCATGAGGCACATTTTTATTTGTGAATATGGGCTATACAAATAATATTTGATTTGATGTAATTTGAAAGATGTGTCACGTGGATTTTGTGTGAACTGTGTTCAGCTTTATAAAAGTAACACTTTTAACATCAGTCCGGGTTTTCTTCAACTTCGTTGGGTTCATAATTTTTATACACAACTTTTTACTTGAAAGCTACATTTGATTTAAAATAATAAAACATATTTATTTTTCAGTGTGTCGCTTGTAATGATGAAGCCAAAGAAAATGATCACCTGATGTTGCATTTGTGTTTTTTTTGTTTGCTGTGTCTCAGCTTTTTTCTGCCACATCATTGCATTTGTCTCAGTGTATGACACTAGTCTCACTCTTAATTTCAAGCATGGCTCTACTTAATCCCTCCTTAAGAACCCCTCATTTGGGAGTTTGCTCGAAAGAAGTCAGATTGATGTAACAAGAGCGCCGAGGGGCCTAAATCTTTGCTCCTTAATTTGAGATGCAGCATCAAACGAAACAGTCTTTGTAATTTCAGGGAGCTTTCACTTTAAACGTTAAAGAGTCAGTTGTGAAACGCTCCCAGCAGTGAGCTGGCAGAGGGTAATAGCTAAAGCCAACCGCAGAGGGAATTCACAAAGTAGGTGCTAGTGAATGTTTTTATAATTACCTGTTTACCTTTGAATATAAGCTTAGACGCTTGTCATTCATCCTCCAGCTCCTCATCCCTCCTGCTCGTCTGAGCTCTCAGATGCTCTCTAATGGCTTTTCCACTGTAACGATTGGAGAGTGGCCGGCTTCTTGGGATTTCTGTCCTTTTTTTCCTTCCCTGTTGCTGTGAAGACATTTTTTCCAGATGGAAGTTTTTATGGAATAAGCGAGAACCATTTGGAGGGTGGCTTGACCAATCTGGCTGCCGAGTCGGTCCGGTTACGACACCAGTCCAGACTGGTGGGGAACGGCAACCACAGCCAAGCCTAACGTGCTGTTTCATTTAAATGTGTGGCTAAGTCCCCAGAATAAGAACATATTAACATTATCTTTTTTCACTTATTGAAGGAGTGTGGGATAACACAGAGCAGACAGCGAGAGAGCAGAACCCCCAGGCTTGTAAACAAATTCCAGAGGAGTGAGTTTGTACAAGCAGTAAGGAACTATTCATCATGCGGGTTAACAGCCATGGGGGACTTTCACTATGTCAAGAGACAGATTCTTTCAAGAGACGGAGTGAAAGTCAGCTGCAGGTCAAAGGCAGCTGCATCAACAGTGCACTACTGCTTTTATTAAAACAGCATCATCTGAAGAGATGGGAGCCCTTGCTCACACCACGCCCTCGAAACATCAGCCTGCCCAATACACCTCTCACATCAGCAGATACGTCAGGCTTTTAAAGGTTCCTTGTGTAGGATTTAGTGACATCTAGTGGGGCAGCTGATCTCCCCTCACCTCACTCCCCCCTTCCAAACATGAAAAAGAACCTGTGAAAGCTTTCGGTTGTCCTAAAAACTCAAAAGGTTTTAGTTTGTCCAGTCTGGACTACTGCAAAAAACATGGCATCCTCCATAGAGAGGACCCTCTCCTAATGTAAATATAAAGTATTTAAATATAAAGGGCCCATTCAAGGGTAAAGAAAAAAACAATTCATACAGTTTAGGTGATTACACGCTGGTGAAAACATCACTAGGATTTTATTTGTATTCAATTTTTGCCAATAGATCCCTTTCACCTAAATCTTATACACTGGACCTTTAAGGCTCCACTACTCAGTCATACCATCGACAAACACAGAACTGGTTTGAATGTGGTGGCTGATTGGTGTATATATCTGCCCGGACACACAGAGTGGGTCGTCCACTGACCAGAAGGTCTCTGGTTCGATTCCTTGAGTAAGACCCCCAAATTTCCCTTGATGGCTGTTCTGTCAGTTTGTGGATGATAGGTGACAGAAAAAGTGCTGTGTTTTGAAGATCTACGAATATGTGTGCGAATGAGTGATATGACTTGCAATCATAAGACAAAACAAGCTGAGAAAGCACTATAAATGCAACACATTTACCATTAAAAAATCATACACCCTAGTCAGACCTGATATATGGGATTTACTAAGCAGAAATTGCTGGACTATAGCCACTTTCAGACATTCACTGGACTCCACTGATCCTCCTATTTTCTCTGGAGGAGGTGCATGTGTGAGTGAGTTGCTCCACGGTTTCTATGGACATTATCCACCTGGCCTCCAAATATAAAGTCCGTACAAACTCTGTCCCATTCCCATTCTGTCTGCTGCACCCAGTTGCTCCCCCTCTCACCTGAACAATGTGGAGGATTTGTTGCTGTTGTGAATCTCCCTCTGTGTTGTACAGGTGTGAAAGGCAAACTGCGGGTGTTCTGTAGCCAATTCTCCGGATTTTACCCAAAGGAGATGTCTGAAAACATAGAGAGAACAACCATTCACACTCACAATCACACGTACAGATAGAAGGTACAATAAATGTTCCTCCTATCTGCATGACTGTGGGAAGAAGCCAGAGTACCCAGAGAAAACTCACACAGAACGACACTCCACACAGAAAGACCCCAGGCTAACTGGGATTCACAACCAGGAACCATCTTGGTGTGACAACCTAACTGATTAACCATCCTACAACTTGCACTGCACCACCTTGTCGCCCCATTGACCAATTATGTGGTAATAATACACCAGTAATGTATTTATAGTTTGTACTGCTGCTCACAGGTAGCACACAAAACTTTGTCTGCATTGTGAAAGTAAGATTTTATCTTTAAGTTTTTCTTCAGGGTCAAAGCTTTTACAAATGTTATTGGCTCTTACAATAAGTATGACTCTATTTTAATGTTCTATGTCTCTGCGTTAAGGCACTTTGTAAGAAAAGTGTTATATAAATAAAGTACAGTTTATAAGTTATGATTATGAAAAGCACATTTGCAAATTAGACCGTGGTATTGTATCTATAAATAGCCTTTTGATTGGCTCTTAAATTTAATCAGAACCAAGTTAAGTTTTATTCAAACTTTGTTTAATTGTCTTTACATGGTCAAAGCAAATACTGGTTTGAAATTTTAAATGACAAAATGCAGTGCACAAACAAAATCAAGCCATAGTCCCTCAGTTTACACTGCTGCACGTTATAAT